GATTAGGAGCCACTCCGATGTTGTGGTAATTCTTTCCTGAGACGATTAAATGTTCTAACGGGTTTCCAGCAATAGGGTATTGGCTAAGATGGCATCAAAGGAGGGGTTTTTGACAGACGGGCAGAGGGAAATGTTGAAACTTGCTTGCGAGAGTGCAGAGAATCTTCCACCTTCTCCGAAGCCTACCTCGTGTTTACGATCAGAGAATCTGCCGAAAGTATCTGGTTGTGGAAAGGCATCTGGTGGATCAAATGCTGTGAGACACCGTAGGTCTCACAGCGGGAAGTCTATCCGTGTAAAGAAGGGTGAGTTCGTTCGTGCATCGGTTCCGAATTTCCCTTCTAAGATTTGTGCCTCACATCTTTCTCTCAAAGATTAAAAAAAAAAACTATTGATAGCATCATCTACATTCTTTGAGAAATTGATGCAGAGATTGTTGAAACCCTGAGTTTTTTTTTCCTTTTTTTCATTTTGGAAAGCGAGGTTGACTTTCTTCCTTTGGATTCACCCAATTCCTAGCTTCAATCTGTCTTTGACTTCCTTCCTTTGAAAGTGTATGTTTCCTCGGTTTGCCTTGTCTTTCTTTTTTCTTAATCTGATAGGTTGGGGATCTATCCACTGTTCCCTCAGCAAACAGTCTCGTCATACTTTTGATCATTTTTTCCTCAATGATCTGAAATTTCATTGATCTGTTGTTTGCATAATACTTGGTCTTCAACAAAACTGCATTCAAGTACTCGAACATCTTCTTCCTTGTTTTGTTTTCAATGCCATGTTCAATTCGCTCAAGAGAATATCGCATGAATAAGATGTGAGATTATTTGAGTCAATTATATTCTCTTACGGTGTCAGTTTGGATGTGAATGTTCAGCTGTTGACAATTTATGTTGAGTTAGTTTGTGTAAGCTTTATCTTATGACTCCAACTTTCTTCCCTTTGCTCTGTCGGATATTCGTGACTAATGTTCTTTAACCTCACTCATAGATGGGGCCGGTGGCAAGGGCACCTGGGGAAAACTTCTCGACACTGATGGAGTCTATCACATCGATCGGAATGATCCAAACTACGACAGTGGGGAGGTGATTGATGCATCTGTTTGCTGCTTGCATTTTTGTGACTAACTATAAGTAATCGAATAAGATTGTTATGTTTGATTATTTCATGCCTCAAGCGGAATTTTTCCTTTGTCGTTGATGTTTTACCTTATTTATGTCTTTCGAGCATTCTTTCTTATATGTCATGAAGCTCAGCTCTTCTTGTGGTTGATGTAATAGGAGGAACCATACGAGCTTGTTGGCGCAACTGTTTCCGACCCCTTGGACGATTACAAAAAAGCTGTGGCTTCCATCATTGAAGAATATTTCAGCACCGGTGATGTGGAGGTGGTAGCGTCTGATCTTGGAGAACTAGGTTCAAGTGAATATCATCCATACTTCATCAAGCGGCTCGTCTCAGTGGCTATGGATAGACATGACAAGGAGAAGGAAATGGCATCGGTCTTGCTTTCTGCATTGTATGCTGATGTCATCAATCCCGACCAGATCAGAGACGGGTTTGTCTTGCTTCT